TGTTAAGACTAAACTGTGTGGAAAATTTCATTGCCATTGGACTCTCTTTTCAAAAGTTATCGTGTAAACGGCCGGACGGCCGGACATACTGACCGATTCTAGAGTGTACTCACTTTTTGAGTACACAAAAAGGAATCTATGCTATTTTCTAAGAACAATTAAAATTGAAACTCTAACACATTATTATATCTATACAAGTCACCAGGTGTAAAACTATTCATGCGTGCAATCGGGATTCTCTTGCCAGTACGTACATCTATTTCTATGTAGATTCATACAATATCTGAAAAATAACCAACAAATTAGAGGACGAGAATAATGAGTTATTTGCGCAATTTCTGCATGATTAAACTGTAAAACACGCTGTTGTTAATCACACGAAGATTGTTTTATTCTATCTATTCTGCAATATATTTCTTCACCATCCTTTTACTTAATACTCAACGAACGCAATAAGGAATTAGCTCATAAATTATAATGAGACATTATTCATATGCAATCATTGATCGTATGTCAATAACTTCTGTCATAGTTTGTGTCGCGTCAGTAGAAGGTCTGTGGAAGGGGTTAGAGGTCATTAGGATTGCATCCGTTGCTGAAATGTTTTTGTTAAATAGATCCAGATAAGAAAATTTTGAACATCACCAGCTCTAGAGAAATTTAAGGAATGTGTAGGGCGCAATAGTTATCGAATACAAAAAAACGGGAAAAAGTATTTGTTCTGTTCGGGACGACTGTCTGATTCTAATTCGAAAACTTCATTGAGTATTAAAGTTTGGATCCAAAAATTTTGAACTCTATGAATTTTAGTGGAAGTTCAAATTTTCATTTTAATAGTTCAACATTCGTTCTAGATTGTGTTATACAAAAAGACACGATTAATTTCAGAAAATATATTATCATGCTACAAAATATTACTATCGATCATATTAAAGAAGCACTTGATCAATTTAATCGAGTATGTTAAGTAAAATTTTAATCATCTATATATAAGATAATAATTGATTTATTATATTTGTTTTTAAGGGTCAAAAATATTCGTATACTGTTTTAACAGCAACTATTAAAGAAAATCAAACAAATGTAAATAGAACAAAAATTTATGTTATTATAGATTAATAATTTTCTTTTTTATTTATTTTAGGATAATTGGTTAATTCAATTATTAAATGAATTACGTGATAATGTTGATTTATTTGAAAATATGAATGAACAATTTCTTGATTTTCTTCAGGTTTAATTTTCTTTATTATGAAAAAAAAAAAGAAATTTTCTTTTATTTAGTTACAAATTCATTGGACAAAGCAATCAAAAGCTGTACTTGATACATTTGGAACTTTTCAAATTACACTTATTTCATCAAATACAAAACATGCACAACGTTATCTCAGTTTTATTTTTACACTTTTTACTGCAACAGGTAAAAATTTATTTCATATTCAAATTATTGTCTAATTGATTATTGTTTTAGAAAATTCAATAATTCATCTTCCAATACATGATTTTGCACATGAAACATTACAACAACTTGTTCATATTGTACCATTGTAAGATATCAACAGTTCAAAATTTTTTGTTTTAGCCATGATTGGATAGAACTCATCGAGTTATCTAAAGAAATCTTGTTTTTTTTTTTGATATATTCAGACGAGATTTTTTTAGAGAAAATTAGATTATTATAAAAATTGAAATATGGTAAAAGTATTAAATCTAAATATTTATCTGAATTATCTTTTTATTTTTCTCGGAATATAGTTAAGAACAAAATGACGCATACTTTATAAAAACTATTGTTTGATTGTTAAGAAGATCGATTTTTTTTGCATATGATCACAAAAAAAGCTATAGATACAAGTTCATATTCAGAGTAGAGCCTATCAGATCCAAAATTTTCGGTCCCACATCCGACAGACTTGATTGTGGAGTCGAAATTTTTGATGAGCACACAAAGTTTTCTTTGTGTATTAGAGCAATCGATGCTTCTTCGGATGAGGAGAAGGAACTTTCAAAATATCTCCTTGTTCTGTAAAAAACCTTGTCTATCTGAAAAGCTTCTGATTATTTGTTTTCAGGATTTTAAAGATTTTGACCTTTCCAAAATTGAAGAAAGAAATAATTGAAAAATCTCTTCCTCTCATTTGAAGAAGCAAACAATTCTCTTTCAAATACGGCATTCCTTGATTCTATATCTTGAAGTATAATGAAAAAAAATTTGTACGGAATGTAGGCCCATTTTCGACCTTGATTTCCAGGAAACTCCTGAACGCTAAAGTTTGAAAAGGTAAAAGAAAATTCGTAAGTTTACTTTCATGGGTCCAACATTTATGAAGCTTCATGGAGATGAAATGCTCAGTATCGAAAATCGATTGTAGAGGAGAGGCGGAGGAGGAAGACTTCAATGCGCTCTATCCAACGATGATAAAAAAAATTTGTTTAAATTTTGAATTGTTCGCACCTTATATATTATCTTTTAATAGAAAACTACGTAGAATAAATATTTTTAATTTATTTAGATCTGTAACACTTTTATGTCCTACTGCTGAACAACATTTTCCATTTATGACAAAAGATATCAATATTCAAGTAATATATATTAAAAATTTACTTCGATCATTATCATATTTATCAATTCAAAGATCACGTTATCTTGAAATAATTGTTTCAAAATTAATTCGTATAGATGTAAGTATTTATAAAAACAATGAAAATAATTCATGTTTTGTTTTTTTTTAATAATAAACAAAAACAAACAAATAAAGGTTCATGCATCACGACAAGATATACTTCATGCAGAAAAAATCAATATTGAAAATGAACTTGTCTTTTCGCTTGAACAACTTAATACAAATGATAATAATGAAATGAAACATGATCATGCTGATAAACTTGATTGTCTTATGTTTGTTTTATTTGAATATATAACAAATATATCCATTGAAAATGGTAAAATAAAATTTCAAAGAAAAAACATATATACATACATTTTATTTTATATTTAATTAAATGATTTATTTAGGAGTAGTAAATTATCAAGAAACAAAATTATTATTTAAAGATTTATTAAATGTTTTTAATAAAATTCTTTTACCAACACATGATTCATCTCATGTACAATTTCTTATCTTTTATGTTTGTAGTTTTCATACGGTATGTTAAATCAAATCTTGTTATGTGAATAAGAATGCTTCGATATAATTGACTTTCTTAGTCATGTTATTAAAAATACTAACTATTTCAAAATATAATGTGTTTCACTCTTCTTTGAATAAATTTTTGATAGGAACATCATAGAGACCATCGATTTTCATCATTCAAGAGAGAAGACACATGCTCATCGACATTTGATTGGTCAGCAATTGACCAATCAGGTGAGTTCTTGGCGAAAATTTTCAAAGAAAAAAAAAGATATTTTCAAGCTATTTTCCTTTTGATTTAAACTTTTAATAGCACTATTCGATAGAAAAAATACTTCTCTTTCATTTGATTTTATAGTCAAATTGATCTAACAGTTTAATCTCACTATTTCCGAAATGTCGACTTTTTCCTTACTTGAAAGAGTTCAGAAATATTAAGATAATAGTGTTGGATTATTTCGGACCTAAAAACAAATATCATCATTCGATTTACCATGATGAATTACCTTTGTCACGCTGCTTTTGTGGGAGATCATAGGTGAACTGACTGAAATCATGAGTCTCAAGAAAAATTTTACCGCTCTCGAAATAAGACAAGCTAGGAATATTGGCCATATGCAGATGAAACGAGAAGATTTTTTTATCGATTAGTCCTATTAAAACACGCGCACACCCTATATTTTGAAATCAACAGTACAAGGAAATACGATGTATTCATTCTTCTTGTTTATTGAAACACATTCTAGCTCAATCATAAGCCTATGTGAAAGTAGAAACAAAGGTAAATTAGATAAAAATAATTATCATCTATCATCAAGAATATATGTAACTTTTTGCGTTGACTTATACTTTCAAAGTCAGATGCTACTTTGAGCCATCGTAATTAAAGCTAAGCTAGAGTCGGTAGGAAAAGTTCATATCATTACTATACACCACCGTCATTCATCATAGTTATATTAGAGTAAAGTGATACATTCACAACTCCGTATATGACAAGACAGACATAAAATAGTGGGAATCGGAAGCATGCAACAGGTGATTGTCTTAGAATTAAACCATGCCACTTTTGTGAAACACGATCTGAAAGGAGTGTTGAAGTGTTTAGGGGTAGAAATTTGGACCCCCCCACAGACCGTTACCGACAGATGATTCTACCATCATCCACCATTGCAGACAGATGAAGACGAGTTAAAGTGTTAAGAATAGGAATTTGAATTGCTTCTGAAGACATTTTAATTAATTAATTAATTACCCTTCCCAGACCCTGAGAGACCAGGTTTGAATCCATCACAAACGGTATTAGAAATGCAGGGAGGATATAAAGGTGGAGCTGTGACTACGATACAGCTCGATAGACACCTCTGGACGTTGTTGTAGACTGTCATGAATCGTATCGGCGTACAAGCAAGGACCGTATAGGGCTACAATCTCTATAAAACCTTTGAGCTGTTTCGGTTTTGCATTTTTTTATCACGTTTCACCTTTTACTCTGGCAAAAACAGACAAAAAATTATTTTATTTCATATAACCCTTCCTACGCTCTAGAAAAAATTATTTTCTCAAAAAAACCTTTTCTCGTGAACCAAAAGAATTCAATTCAAAATTTCGAGAAGCTGACCTCAGATTCGGATTCTTCGACCTTGATTTACTTTAGTCAACCTTTAAAACATCGTTATTTTCTCAAAAGCCCTTTCCTCAATCTAACAAGTTCATTTCAACATTTCAGAAACCGACTTCAGATTCGGATTCTCCGACCCCGATTTACTTTCGTCAACTTTTACAAAATACCGTTATCTTCTCAAAAAACCCTTCCCTTGATCCTAAAAAATATCATTTTCAATATTTTGAGAAACCGAATTCAGATTCGGATTCTCCGACCCCGATTTACTATCGTCAACCTTTGTATAATACCGTTATTTTCTCAAAAAACCCTTTTCTTAACCCAAAAAACTCAATTCAAAATTTTGAAAAACTAACTTTAGATTCGGATTCTCCGACCCCGATTTACTTCCGTCAACCTTTATAAAATATCGTTATTTTCTCAAAAGACTCTTTTCTTTACCCTAAAAACCCGATTCAAAATTTGAAGAAACTGACTTCAGATTCGGATTCCCCGACCCCGATTTACTTTCGTCAACCTTTATGGAAAATTTTCTAAAGTGAAAGTTTTTTTGACCCCGATGTAGACACACATACACACACATTCAAACTATTTTTTGTCATATGACCCTCCGTACAGGCGAGGGAATGAAATCCGAAGATCTTCGAAAAGTGGTACTGCGAATGACCGATGATGGAATGTATCGCGTCAAATTGCTAAACAATTACGAAAGGTGGTTAGTGATAGTACAGTTAGATGGTGGCAACATTTATATAAAACAACAGGTACAATTGACTTGAAAACACCAACTGGTAGACCTCGAATTATACGAACAAAACATCTTATACGAAAGTTGAAACAAAGATTTACTGATAAAGGCCGACGAAGTGCAAGGCAATTATCAAAATCGCTTGGGGCTTCCAGAGGAACAATGGGCCGTATAATTCGAGAAGATCTTCATTTACATGCTTATCATATTACAACCCAACCAAATCTCCAGGACTACCACAAACAACGAAGAATATCATTTGCATACTGGGTACGAAAATCGTTAAGAAAAAAAGATCATCGTAAAATATTATTTACTGATGACAAATATTTTGGATTGAACGGTATATTTAATCGTCAAAATGACCGTGTTTATACTCCAAGTCGACAGGAAGCAGATGAACATGGGGGAATAAGACAAATATCAAAATTTACAAAAAGAATTATGGTATGGTTAGGTGCATGTAAAAACGGTCTTACAACTCCAATTATATTTGCACCTGGTGAAACATTAACACATTCAAATTATGTTGAAGTTGTTCTTCCGCATGGATTAGCTGAAGATCGACGTCTATTAGGTGACGATTTCATTTATCAACAAGACAATGCAACACCACACACGCATAAAAATTCATTAGCATGGATCAAGAACAAGTTCACCAGATTCATCGATGAAAATAAATGGCCACCTAATAGTCCGGATCTCAACATTTGGATTATCATGTGTGGGACGCTATCGGCCACAATATGCACTGGGAGAAAGTCAAAAATTATTATTCTTTAATCGAAGAAATAAAACAAGGTATTAGTCGTACACCAAAAACTGGTGTAGTTCGCAGAGTGGAAAATTGGTCAAGTAGAATTTTGTCAATTTTAAAAACAAAAGGTACTTGTATTAAATAACATTTTTAGTGCAAGTTGTAGAGCTAACTATGGTGCATCTATTGATGTATTTTAATTTTAAATAAAGCATATCAGATAACTATAATATCAAATGCAAAAGTGGGCAATTTATTATGGGCCACCCGTTATATATGAATATCATCTTACGTTTAACTGCATCAAGATTTTCTTGAAGAACAATGTTCGGACAGTTAACAAATCGCATCCAATTCGAGTTGCTAGAATCGATAGCATCGACAAAATATGTCGCTTCATCCGGATCAGTATCAATCTATATATATACAAAAAGGTAGATATTGAGCTGCTTTCATTCTTACAATCCAAGAATAACCACTTTCATCTGCAATCAGCTGATTGTTATGCTTGTAGCCACGGTAAGGACCAAAATAAGTATCTTTTAGGATTTGACGAGTGGCAAATACTCCTAGACCCTTGTAAAAATAAATTATTCATTTTCGCTTGTGCTATATAATTCATTATGTACATAGGGTACTACAAAAGTTTTTTCATACAGCTCTTCTAGAAATGGTAATTTGAGGGTATCTATTCCGCTATAATACGTAAACATATTTAGGACTATGTGAAAATTTCAGCCGTCCACGCATTACCCATCGTTATACTTTTTCTTTTTTTTTCATGTCACCCTCGCATCACCTTCGATATGAGTTTTCAACTCTCACGTGAACAATTTCGCACTATGATTTTATATGATTGGAAAATTGGCTTAACATACAAGGATAGCCATGCCCATTTGGTGCAAGCATGGGGGGAGCAAGCATCTTCTGATCACACAGTCTTCAATTGGTTTCGTGAATTTCAACGCGATAATTTTAGTGCTCAAGATGCTCCACGTTCAGTTCGTCCTTCAACATCTGTTAATGAACAAACAATTCATGCTGTACGAAAAATAATTGAAGATGATCCTCATTCGACGTATCAGCAAATAGAAAACATATTGGGTATCAGTTCCACAGCAATTAATTCGATTATTCATGATTATTTAAATCTAAGAAA